CTTACTGTTAAGTGACTAGGGTAAAGAAGATAGGAAGTTCAATAGGTCCAGGCTGCACAATTACTCGATCGTGGGAGGAGAGTTGGGTCTAGTTTCTCATTAGGTCAGAGCTCTGCTGAGAGTCTCAGATTAATGGAGATGGGCATGATGAGAGCACAAAGAGATACAAACGAGTACCAAACTTCCCCTGGTCGGGCTCTCCGTGAGCTCAAAGAACGCATCAATCAGACTCCTCCCTTGCGGTTTGTTGACCTTCAACCGCCCATTTTCAGGGGCTATGGTATCTCAAAATATCTTGAGAAGTGGGAACTCTATGCGTATAGGAGCCGATGGACCAAAGATGAGATTATTTATAACTTCCCTTTCAACTGTGATTTGAATCTCGTTAGCATAACTAAGGTTGAGAAGCCAAAAGATCGACGCTGGAAAATTTACAGGGAGAATTTGTACCAACGTTTTAGTGACACGGATATTAGATACACTATTCACGATCTGGAGTCACTGACTAGAGAAAAGGATGAGAGTGTTATAAGCCTTTGGCTATAGCTTCGTAAAGATGTCACGAGTGCTGATAGAAAAGGGGATATTATGCGAGGTGGACAGGTGCGCCATATTTATTAGTCGATTGTCCAAGGATAAGCAGAAGAGTATTCTGCGAGAACTCCCGCATGATGAGTTTTTTATTACAAGGGTCTAATATGGGATCGTTTACGACGCCTGAATAGATATCATTCTCCTTCCCGCAATTCAAGGTTAGTGAAGTATCTGGATATTGATGACAGACCTTGGGCCCATCCACAGTACTCGTTCAAAGAACCCAACGGGCGATCGACTTCTAGTAGTGATCCCATAGAAAGGTTGACGGAAATGGTGCACGGATTGGCCGAGAAACTATCGAGGATCGAAACCAGACCTGATACAGTGTTATATCGAGATAAGGGTAAAACATCATATTCCTTAAGATAGGACCTGAGAGATTCCTCCTCGTGGAGAGATGTAGGAGATAGAAACCCTCGGACTATAGCGGATTACCAACCCTGACTTCGGGACAATGATTATCAACCAAGGCATAGAGCTTTTTCCAAACACGATGACGATTTTTGAGGGAGACGTGATGATTATTCTAGGAGTACAGGTGATGATCTTCGTGCCCAACGAGACGACTATATTAGTTATCGTGATAATAGTGACACTATCACGGTGGTCGTATCGAGACTTATCCTCGGAGCCCTGGGTATTATGGCAGAGATGATGTGGTTTGCGGTCCGAAAAACTCTCGACAAGATTAAAATCTCAGGAGCCCCGATGGAACAATAAAACTCGGATGAGCAATACTGATAGAGAGCGTCGCAATGATTTTAAAGGACTATACGTGAGTCTTGATTCACATTATTACATTTTGTTCACGTTGTTACTCCTGGAGTCTTTCTTTCACATTGCTGATCTTTTGGGCCTGCGCATTGCGTATCTACTGATAGGCATGCATCCTCCTCGGACCACACCGTCACAACATTTTGTTCACATTGCTTTTCATGGAGTCTTTCTTTCACATCTGTTATCTATGGGTCTGCACATTGCCTATCTGCTAATGGGCATGCAACATCCTCAAACCAGACCGTAAATACAAAGTTCTTCGTGTGATCATATATGATAATAATGCCACATGGATCTCATCGTGAAGATGTACTTCATGAATGAAGACCCACAATTTCGACAAGGAGGTTCCTTCTTCAATAATGTGATTCTTTGTAGATTATTGCTGCTTCTTAGGAATGAGCAAGTTGCAAACGCAGCAGATGCGAATGCACCTGCACTTCCAATGCCAGAATATGGTGGCTAAAGGTACCAGTATTGGGCTTCTTAGCGAAAAGAATGTCATTGAGAGAGAGGTTTGCAGAGACAAGTGCCATCTTGGTCGAGTCACCCGACTCTTCCACCAGTCTTCCACCGATTTGACGATTTCTTATGTAGGTGTGGTATGTAGGTGTGGTATCAACAAGATGCAAATCGTCAAATCGATGGAAGACTGGTGAAAGAGTCGTGCGACTCGACCAAGATGGCACTTGTCTCTGCAAACCTCTCTCTCAATGACATTCTTTTCGCTAAGAAGCCCAGTACTAGTAATCCCCAAGAAGCTCAGGGGATGTTGTATCCCTCTCCAAATGCATCAATGAAGAAAACCTTCACTCACATCGCTTTGCAGCAGACATTTCCATCCCCCTCTCCTCTGCGCACGGACAGTACAATGCTCACGTCTCTATTGAATTCCCAATCCTTTGATAGACACATATAGGGCCATGAACCCTGACGATCATGGTTATACTTGGTTTGGTCCCCATCCCTCGGACACAGCCCCCCAGCTCTATCGCAAGGTGGACTGTACACTGCCGCAAGGGGAGTGTTGTGGGACCAATGCATCCTGGCGGATGTAATGATATCCTCCATTTCTCACCATTACCCAGCGGTGGCAGACATAATTGCTAAAGACTTAGCTCAAAAAGCCCACCCCCCTTTCGTTTAAATGTGAATAAGCTAAGGGGTTCCGGTGTGGGTGAGTTACCAAATGACAGATTGGATGAATTCTAAAGTTCTCTTTGATTCCGAAGATCACTGGGCTGATGTGGGTATAAGAATTATCAGGGAAGCATTGATAGTTTTTTCCCACATGAGAGCGGCAAACATAAAAAATGTCGGAAGGACGTTGCCATGGCGGAGTCGCTGATGGGCCAAGACCCATTTGCTGAGTTTTACTGGTCCGAAGAAAGAAAACCTGCGTTGTGCCAGCTGGAAGCACTAGAGCTGCAAAAACAGGCAGACTGGCTTCAGTGGCTAAGACTTCGGGGATAGTGCGCTACGACAGGATGACTAAGCTCGTTCGTTGATTCTTAGACAGACTAAGCCCCCAATTAGGGAACTCGTCCACCCCTTTGAGCTCGAAGCAAGGGTAGTGACGGACTCGGTAGACGTGTTCCTACGCACTCGAATATTTCGGGATATCACGACTTCAAGGAGACCATTTGATCATTTTCACTCTGATCTCTCAGCCGGCACTCGGTTTTGGGATAGGACGTCAGCCTCCATTGGCAACAGCTCTATAACATACTTGGATTCCCCGCTGACAGAGAGAGAGCTTCACTGTGCTGTCAAGCAGATGGCCCTCGGTAAGTGCCCAGGACTGGACGACCTACCAGTTGAGTTGTTCCTTAGCTCTTGGGATGGGTTTGGGCCAATTCTGTGTGGCATCTATAATAGAGCCCTTGAAACAAGGTCCCTCCTACCTAACATGGTCAAGGATGTGATATCCCTTCCATACAAGAAGAGTGCATGAGGCCAAGCGAATAAGCGAGAAGGTCAGGAGATGGACCCTTAACTTCCAGCAACGTGGTCAATGTGATCAGCAGGGCAAGAGTACGAGGTGATGTGGCACGACCCTCGCTAAGGCCTGCAAATGACACAAACCAGAACACCAACAATAATAGACACCATGACCGAAACGACATAACTACACACAAAGGAGCACTTCTTTACAGGGAAAAGAAGCACAATGTTCACACAAATGAAACATAACTACACACAAATGAGCACTTCATTACGGGGAAAAGAAGCACAATGGTTCACACAAATGAACCCGGCCGCTTAAAACTGTGATGAATACACACATACACATACCTAAGATCACAAAATATGCACACACGTGTGGGCAGACACACACACAAGCACACAGAACATGCACACAAGCACGCACGCCCACACGCACAGACGACATGGACACAGACACACACGCCCACACTCATAGTCGTGTTATTCAAGACCGTGTTCACGAAGGACGCAAACATGTCCACGACAAGGTAAAATGAATAAGCAGAATCGTAAGCACACACAATCAGATCTGATCTAACCACTCAGATCACGTCGGATGTAATGGGATCAGATCCCTTATTCTGCTGTATCCTATTAAAAATGGTCGAATCTCATGGTATCTAACTTGATCAGATCAGTTGGGTAGAGAAAGCATTTCTTCTTTCTGAACAAAGATATCCTTACTTACGAATAATGATGTACTCGTTTCACTAAGAGCATCGGCACCCAACTTGAAAAAGGGAAAAGAAAAATAAAAAACGATGAACAAAACAGTCCAGAAATAATTCATCACAAACTGAAGGAAAACAACCCAAAGCACATATGCTCTCTCTCTCTCTCTCTCTCTCTCTCTCTCTCTCTCTCTCTCTCTCTCTCTCTCTCTCTCTCTCTCTCTGTGCATATATATATATATAGTGATTTATGCCATCGTTCATATCCCCTTTGGGCGTCTTTACATAAGTCAAACTATACACTCCTCGCATCAACGTTTGCAGGAACCTACGTAGCACCGTGTTCGCGTTCGGAGGCGAACGCGAACATGTCGTCCGAACGCGAACAAGCGCCCAAAACCCTCCGAACGCGAACATAAAAAATATTAAAATAAAAAAATAAAAAATTCTCAGAAAAATCTGGAAAAAATATATGTTATGTAAAATAATAATACAAGCAACTTTTGCCTTGGAGTGATGTTCAAATCCGTAACCAATCACGAGTTAAAAATCAAAAACCGTTTTTTTTTGTATCTTTTTTTTTTATGGAAAAAAAATTATGTTCGCCCGAACATGTTCGCTAGCTGTTCGCGCAAACGTGCGAACACGTTCGCGCGAATATGAAGGGGCGCGAACACGTTCGCCGTGCTATGCAGGCAGGAACATTAGCATGTTCGTCGTTCTGCTGCGGAGTTTCAACGTCACCGGCTCTACAGTGTCATGTCTTATCAAAACCCCTTCAATTTTGTAGTCTGGCCCTTGGAACGTATTGACCCGGCCCTTTACCATACATCACAAGGTCTTGTTGGCCGTAACCTTTTTCGACGGGCTGCTACGACACATGAAGCCTATTGGGTACGCCGGTTGCGGACTCTTCATCCAGCTGGTCTCAACACTGTCCTGCTGCTTGCTCCCCTGCCTGCAAGAAGACGACAACGTCGTCCTCATCGGTGCACACGGACAGGGCTTCGTCCATCAGACCATCAACAGCCCCAGCCTATTGATTGGCGTCCAGCCCCCGACTTTCAAATCCGGTCTGCATTGCACAATCTTCTCTCACAAGCTGTTGCTGGCAATTCGCAACAAGATGGAATCTGTCATCCAGCGAGCAACGTCAGTTTGGCGTGCCCGCTTGCTGCAGTGGTTGAGCAATAATATCTCCAATGCAGATATGAGTGCGCATATCCGTCAGCTTGAATGCCAGATTCCGAACTATCAACATGTCCGCCAACGATACACAGCTCAGTCTCATATTAAAGTTGTGCACATGCACGAGGTGTCTCAGGTAACGAGGCTGCGACAAGCCTTGCATGCACCCCAGGTGCTCCACTTGCACCCTGACCCTGATGACGCAGCACACCTGCGTATCTGTGATAAGTTGTTGCCGCCAACTCGCGTCCAATTCTCTAATTTCACGGAAGTCGCGCTCAGCGTCACACCTGGGATCTCCCTGCCTGACCCCTCGGACTGTCAATGTTGGGAAGTGTTTCCCGACTGCTCACACTTAGTCGACGGCCATGTTGTTACAACCGACTGGGACATCATTCCTGATGATCGCCTCCGCGTCTTGTTCCATGAAGGCTCGAAGTATCGTCTTAATGGACAAATCGCTCATGTGCTTTAGGCTCTTACAGTCCGCCTTCACGAGTATATTGCTAAATACTTGAGGTCAGTCTCCGAGCAGCTTCGACCGGCTACTCTGAACAAATTGCGCCAGAGGCGCTCAGTCGTTCTCACACGTTGCCAAAGCAACATCTCATCCCCCCACACTACCACACGACAATCGCACTCCCTTCACTCGGTGCACAGGGCTTTGAGACACCTTCAACAACACTTTACTATTCTTCCTGTCGACAAGACCTCACATAACTTGGCAATCTGTTGTAAAAATTGGTACTTGTCTCATCTATCTGCTCATTTGGACAACCCTACCTATGATGTGCCTCTTGAGTCCCTCGCAGATATACTGGAACATCACGCGCTCTAGAATCATCGGTAGGGATATACACACAAAGACACGTTTCGATATCTGTACTATGCACTTAAAGCGCACAAATCGCCCCCGGGCTTCGCAGTATTGTCCGTCACGGAGCAGAATAATCTCTCCCTGCTGCAACGATCTCGATCACCTGCGCCATCTGTTCATGTAGTCCACCATCGACCTCCCCACAAACCCTTGGCCAGTACTACCGTCGCTTCTGCCTTCCTCAGCGTTGCACTACAAGGAGCCATTGAAACTCTCTGTGAGAAGGATTATGTGTTGTATCATCAAAGCGGTGTGAGACGGTGTTGGATCGTGCAAAGCGCTGAGGAGGTGATGCTTGATCTCAAACGTAGTTCCTCTTCTCTTCGTGACCATGCTCCTCGCACTATTGATTTCACAACTATCTATACCAATCTTCCTCATGACCGTATTTGTCATAATGTATCAAAAGCGGTTGAGGAAGCCTATACATAAGCCTTACAACAACACGCACAGGACTCCTCCTACCCTTAACATAATTGTTAAAGGGCCCCGTCAAGTGGAGTGGACGGTTGATACCGGACCAAACACCTTGACCGTTTCCAAAATTCTTCAACATCTTCATCTCACTGTGACAAACACCTATCTTTATGCAGCGGACGGCACCATGTGACATCAGCTAATAGGCATCCCGATGGGGACTAATTCTGGTCCGGAGATAGCTAATTTGACATTGTCTTGGGATGAGGCTCGATTTCTTGATGACCTCCAGCAGTGTGATCTTTGAGCCGCTCAACGGTATGCGTTCACATACCGCTTGATCGATGATGTTCTCTCATGGGGACATCTGCCACCACCGTAAGAACACTATGGCCTCGAATGGAAGGAGACCTCAGCGCCTGATGGCTCTTGCACATTCTTAGGTGCACGCCTCAAAGTCCGCCCTGACGGTTCCCTGCGTATGAGTGTCTTTGACAAAGCAGCTGAATGGAATTTCCCTGTTATTCGTTATCCTAGTGCTACGTCTAACGTCCCTGCACACCAACCGGCGGGAGTGTTTACAGGCCAGCTTACTAGGTTTGAGTATGTCTGCAACAACTGGTATGATTTCAAAACTGTAGCAGCGATGCTCACACGCCGCATGCTTTTTCGCGGGCACTCTCCAACAACGCTTGAGAAAGGATGGACTTCCTATATTCGTAAACGTCAACACAGGTACCCTGCGCACGTGACCCGCCTCTCCAGCTAGTTCCACAGCATGCTTCCATAGTCTATTCATCACCCACTTTCTCGGGTATCCACACACTGTCCTCGGACTACGCTTGTCACAACCCCTTCTTCATTATCGGCGCATGTCACACCTATCACAGCCTCTTCTTCATTACTTGCGTCTACCGCACCTGCATCCTCATCAGTCTTAGTAACCCCTTCCATGTCGTTTGTGACCCTGGCTGCCCTTTTTCGGTTCGCAGCCTCTTCCTCATCGGCCTTGGTTGCTTCTACGATTGATTCCGCAGGAGCAACTCGACTTGCAGTTGTTGTGTCGCCCTTGGTCACGGTGTGTTCCTCCATGGCATCCCATGCAACAGCAGCTGTTGTGTCGCCCTTGGTCTCGGTGTGTTCCTCCATGGCATCCGTGACCACCGCACCTGCTTTGTCGCCCTTGGTCTCGGTGCGTTCCTCCATGGCATCCGTGGCCATGCCTGCATTACCACCTGCAAAGTCCCCTCTTCGGGTCTCACCTACGACTGCCCCCCTTGTCTCTACTTCAGCCACTTCACCACCCCTGACTTCATCCCCCCCGTCTTCACCGACTATATTTCCCGTGGTTTTATCGTCGCCTGTTACCCACCTTTCCGACAACTCTACCACCCCTGTCTTCACCACTCCTACCTCCCCAGGTTTTGTTTCCATCCATTACCCCTCTTCCTAATCCACAAACCACTACGTCCACACAGACTCCGTCATCATGTTCTGCCCCTGCAGAAAGCCTAATTCGCCGTCCTAGACGCCAACTTCGACCTACTTCCAAACCTCAGCTTACTCCCCTTTCCTCCATCTCTGTTCTTGGACGAAGAAGAACCCGTTCATTCTCCCCACCACGGCCCTCCCAAACATCCCATTCCCGTCTTTTGCCGCCCCAAGCATCCTTACCACGCCTGCAACGCTCTTCGACTGCAGAAAGGCGCCTGCAACGCTCTTCGACTGCAGACCTTTCTGCAACGCGACAAACACAAAACAGGAGGGATGATGGCGAGGGGCTATCCGAGGATGACCTTGGCAAGGGGACTGTAGGAGATTCTATCGAAAATCCGCATGACTGGCCTCCACCGAATTTGTGTGGTCTCGCTGCTACTAACATGTGCCTGCAAGCCTATCGTCGGGAACCATATACTCACTCTGATTTCTTGGCCATTGCTTCCGATCTTGATGCTCAGGAACGTGAGTTATATGGTGATAACACGACTCTGCATCCCCCACACGATACTAATTACACTCAACATGGGGGATTCAATGTCTCTGTTTTGGAGACTTCTTTGATAAGGCGCCGGCTTGATATGCAGCGTGCCCCTTCGGGTGGCGACCCGGACCACGGTTCGCACGTTTGCGCCTATATTCTACATACTCCTGGCCACTACACCGCTCTTGTTCGTGCCTCTGGTTCTAGGGAATTATGGAATGGCGGTGCTATGGTGCAAACTATTACTGCCATCTCTGATCTCGTGCGTAATTACCTTAACCTGCAACTGTTCCAGGTCATTGACCCTATGGGTATCTCGTGTACTTCCATGCCCGCCTCTACGCCTATCTCTGTTCCTGCCTCCGTACATGTCTCTGTGCCTGTTTCTGTGTCTGTCTCCTTCCAGATTACTGACTCTATGGGTACTATGTGTACTTCCATCCCCGCCTCTGCACCAGTCTCTGTGCTTGCCTCCACACCTGTCCCCATGCCCGTTTTTGTGTATGTCTCTGTGCCTACCTCCATGTCTGTCACCGTGCCTGCTTTAGTCGTCATTCCCCCACATGTTGCACTAACACCTTGTGACCTCCTTTGTGAGATCACTGACACAGTTACACTTGGTTGTGGAAAGCATCGACTTTGTCGACATCACTTCAACCGTATAATTTTTCAGGTTCGCTGTCGGCAGGGATGCCACCTGTATCCGGATTGTGAACATCGTCTACATCCAGATGCAGTATGTCCCATCTGTGCCTGTCGGCGCTATAGTGAATGTGCACTTAACTGTGATGGTGAACGCCCCACAATCATCATGGCCTGCAACCGGCATGCGCTCTGTCATGCATGCTTCAGAGGTATGGCTAATGCTAGCCGCGCTGGCTCCTGCTGTGACGAAGTTGCTTACCTTAATGGTTTCTTCCTGTAGATCAGCGGGAGAGCTGCTACCATCGCCCGTATCCTTATGACAGTTGTCCTATCTGTCGTGAGGGTCTTACTTAGACGTACCTTGCACCATGACAAAAATGTGCAGGTGCGCTGAAAAGAGTGTACAAGAATGTGCAAAGGTGGGGAATCCTTCACTAAAACTGCCAAACTGTGAAGAATGCAGTAAAAGAAGAACATAAGTGGGAAACGGTTAACGGGGGCCCAAATATTCGCCGTTTTCTTTGGCAATTGCGGTGCGAATTTGATCAAAAATTTTAAAACAAACGATATGAGACCATACGGCAAACATCAAAAAAGGAAACAGCCCAAAAAGAACCAAAAAAAAACAAAAAAACACTATGAAACCCTAACACAAAGACACTGTCCGAGTCAAAATGAAGCGTCGAACGAATTCAAAAAAATGCCAACTTTTTCATTATTGATCCAAACATGTCAAAACTGCACACATGACATACCCTAAAGCACATATATATCACACAAAAAGAAAAACAAGAAAAAAGGCAAAAAATTAGCACAATATGGCAGTTTCAGTGCAATTCGGTGCAAAATTCGTCGAAAATAACACCCCTGGTTAACCACGTTTGTCGGTTTTCCTTTTCTGCTCCTCTCTTTCTTTTGTTTAACACCTTTTCCTTCACTCTACCTCTTTCCCATAGCGTGCAAGTGGGCTGTTATGGCATACGAGGATAGGGGCAGCTCGCGCTCAACTTCATCAACGTGGCGAGCCTTGTACATTAGAGGCATAGTGGAGGAGGCGTTAAGAAGACTGAGAAACTGAATGATTTCAATGTGTCTTTGTTTTTTATTTTTTATCCTTTGATTCAGTGTATTTTTTTTTTGAAAAACACTAAAAGAAATAATAATACTGTGAAACAAAGAATAAGAGGACACTGTTTTGTGTCATTCTGGTTTGTCTGTCCCTTTGCCTGTCTGTCCTTTCATTTTTCTTTTCTTCGCTCATCTTATTTCTTCTTCTACTTCACGTGTTTACGCTCTTAGTCAATAGTTTTCTGACAATATATATATATCGTCAAATAGAACTGCCCGGTAAACCGTAGGCAGAGAGGGAGAAGAGGACAACAAACGAGGGGCTGTGACAAACTGTTTCGTCGAAGTTTCACCGACTCATCAGGAG